AGCAAACAAGTACACTGCAGGGTAGAGGCTCTTGGCAGTAACCCTGTGCAGTGCACAAATGCAATGCCAGTTACTGTGCAATGGTGATGCTCGCAAAAACCCAAATCAGTCCCAAAGCCCAACAAAGTGGTCCCAAGCTGCACTACAGGTATAGACTCCCTGAGCAACGTGTAATGTGGGGCAGAGGTGCACTGCAGGGAGGGCACTTGATGCAAAGATGTTGCTCACCTGGGGCTGCCAAAAGAAACCTGGGAGAAAACACCAGCCAACAGACACCTCGCTGGTAATATAGCGAAAAGCTGAGGTAGCATGGGGCAGTGTTATAGCAGCAGCGGTGCAGCGTAAGGGCTGGGCTGGAAGGCACATATCCAGTGCATAGCAGTGAAACAGTGGGACAGAAGTGTCATGTGAAGCAAAGGTGCACTGTGTTAGTACAATACAACAGCAGAATGCAGGGGGGGAAGTGTGCAGAAACTCAGGAAAGTTCACATGCCTGATGCAGTACAGATGCCCATGCAGTGATGCAGTGCATTACAGAGCTGCCACGTGACACAAAGATGGAATGTTGTGGTAGCATGCCATCTGTAGGCACAGTGCAGTGCTGCAACACGAGGAGCTATGGCCAAATCCCAGGAGTGTCTGATACCCAGTGCAACACAGACTGCCCAGTGAGGTGCTGCAGTGTAGAGAACATAAATGCTCTAGAATGCAAACACACAACGTGGCCATAGAAAGCCATGAGTTGGTCTCAAATGGTGCAGTGTGAGGGGCTCTGTCTAGAAACCCAGGAGACTCCACCTTCCCAGTAAAACACTGACATCCATTAGAGTAACAGTGTAAAAGAGAGCTGCGGAGATACACCAAGCAGGACAGCTGCAGGATGGAGGCACAGTCCAGTGGGACAATGCAAAGGCAGGGTGTGCAGAAACTCAGCAGAGCCCACACACCCGGTGCAATGCAGAATGCCAGTGCAGTGGAGCGCTAAGATGCAGTACAGCGCAAGCAAGCTGGATCCAGGACCCCAGTAACACACACCCAGAGTAGTCCAGAGCCCTGATGCAGTGTGTTTATGTAACGCAAGGCAACAATGTGGCATACTGCAAAAGTGTTGTGGGGAGGACTGTGATGCCTCTCTGTGTTGCAACAGGGGGGAGGGGAACCCAGACCCCTGGAGAACCCTATCCCTGCAGCTCTGCCAGGCTGGGCTGGCTCAACCCACGGGTTGGGGTCTGAGGCCTCATCTGCCTTATCCCCCATCCTCCAACATCTTCCACTACAGTGACTCTCCAAAGGCACAGGATGAAGCCACTGCCACCCACAGGATAGGCAGTCTAGAGCTGAGCACATTGTCCAGGTATTTATATCAGAGCAGGGCCCTGGATTGCTGGCAGCCAAACAATGAATTCAGAATCTGCTGATAAAGCTTTTGGACAATTAAAGTGTATCCCCTGGCCCCCAGCCCAGGGCAGGACAGAGTGGGGCAGGACAGAAGAGGGACAGAGAGGCAAACCTATTGGATTAGGCCCTGGCACAGGGTGGGCAGGAAATTAGAGGAACAGGAGGGAGGTGGTGACAGTTCAGCCAGACTCAACCACCCAGGCCAGTCATTCCCCCGCCCCCCATCCCCACCACCTCCATCAGAAACCAAGAACAAACTTTTCTGTGCATATAGGATGTCCGCACACATGCACACTGTAGTCAGCACCTACCGTGCTTACTATGTGCAGGACCTGTTCTAGATATGCACAAACACAAAATACATCCTCACAACAACGCAAGTGGTGTGTCCTTTATCATCCCCATTTCACAAACACTAAAGGCTCGGAGAGGTCAGTAACTGGCCCAAGTGCCACGTGGCTAGTAGCGGTGGATCCAGGATTAGAACCATCCCGATGGTCTGGGCCCTGAGCCCGCACTCTTAACTACCACATGCTAGGCACAAACACATTTTGACACACATGCACAACCACAGGGACACACATACAGCACATAAACACACACACACACATACATTCTGAGCATGCATTTCCCACTCGCTCAGCTGAGACCCACCTGCCTGACCAGATAGGTTTCTGGTACCTCTCAGCTGTCACCTTTCATCCCTAGCTGTCCCACATCCCCCTGTTCTTTCCATCCCCCACCTGTCCCCCAACCCTCAGTTGCTCCCCAGCACCACTTGTCCCCTCATTGCCAGTTGTCCTCTTCCCCAGAATTACCTTTGCCACCAGGTATGGCCTATCCCTCAGCTGTCACCCTAGCTGCAGCTGTGATCTTGCCCATCAAATATACCCCCACCACCCCTTCCCAATACCCTCATCCCAATCCTTCCCCACAGCTTCTGCCCACAAACTCCCAAACCTTAGCCCTTCTAAGCCCCCTTTCTCTTTGTCCCTTCTGAGTCCCCACTTGGTCCTGGGGTCTGCACCTTGAGAATCTGCCCGAGACCTCATGAGTCATCCAGTAGCAGCATCTTCTGAGTTGCCCACCTCAGGGGTCCTCCCATAGCCATTCTGCAGGCGATGGCAGCTCCCACCCAGAGCCAGACAAGGAGGCATACTGAAACACTCACAATTGTCCTAGGAGCCCTGCTCCTGCCCAACCCCTCCCCAAGCCTTCCCTATGCACCCAGAGGTTCGCACTGATGCAAACACTTGGTGGGCACCTGCCATGCATGGGCCAGGGACCAGAGATGACAAAGACACAGCCCGCTCCACAGGGGGCTCCCGGCCTAGTGGAGAAAGGAGATGGAAAACAACAGCAGCCCACTCTCACATGTGCATTATGGGAGAAACCTGACCAACTGCGCCGGGACAGGGCTGGGAAGGCCTCACTGCACCAGAGGCAATGGAGCCGGACTCTGAAGACCGAGCAAATAGGCAGACCCCACCAGGTGAGAAAGGGAGGGGTGTTCCCAGCAGAAGGCACAGCATGTGCAAAGGTAGAGAGGTGTGAAGGGACATGCATGGCAGGCTCTGGGATAGACCGTAAGCCTGGTGATCTTGGATCAGAATGTGGACAGACAGGAGCGGGGTCAGGGAGGTGAGGCATACAGTGAAGCTGCCTTGGAAAGAAAGGGCTGGTCACGCAGGGCTTCATCTGCCATGTCAGGCTTTAGGTTTTGTCTCCGGGGTGCTGGGGAGCCTTCAGCTTGGGGCAAGGGAGTGGCAGCACCCTATGTATGCTTAGAAAGGTCATTCAGGTCACAGGGTAGTGAAGCATAGGAAAGCAAAAGGCTGATGGCAGGATGGAGACCAAGGAGGAGCAATTGCAATAGTCCAGGCAGGAAATAATGAGTCTGCAGAGAAGGGGACAGACATGGACTCAACAAAATCTTTCTCCACAGCCACTGAGTAAGGATCTGTCCAGACATGTCCACTCCCTGAGGTGCCCAGGTCTCACTAAGCTGCAGCAGGCCTCACACCTCTGGACCAGCAAGTCCCTAGAACTTTCCAGGAGGATGGAAATGTTCTCCACCTGCACTAACCAGTACAACAATAGCCACTAGCAACATGTGACTCTTCAGAACTTGCAATCTGGCTTGAGCAACTGAGGGATGGAATTTTTATTTTCATTTTCATTAATGTTAACTAATTTGAATTTAAAAACACATGCAACTAAGTGGCCACTGTACTGGAGAATGCAGGTAGAGGACATTACCATCACTATAGAAAGTTCTAGTGGATAACAACGCTCTAGATTAACTAACTATGGAGAAACAGAACCACCTGGGCCTTCTTCCCAGGCTTTGGGAAGGAGGTCCCAGAGGCTGAGTTGGGGACAGCCACTAGCACACTCCCACCCAACATATCCACACCCCATTCCTGGATACGCAGATATTCCCATAGGACATCAGGGCACCTCCACACCAAAACATGCAAATAGACACATGGCACCTCACACCCTGATTCACAAATACTGGATACTTCAACACACGGGTACTCCACACTCAGATACCCAGACATGTGGGTACCCCTATACCCAAACACCCAGACACCTGGACACAACACAGAGACACTCTGCACTTAACCACTAACCTGAAGATTCCTAGATGCCTGGATACTCCAACCTCCAGATCCAGAGACACTGCGACATCCTCTGCACACCCTGATCCTCCCACACCCTGGTACTGGGATACCCACACCTAGATACTGTGATATCCCCCATCCAAACAGCTCTGCACCCAACTCCAAGAATTTGACACTTGCATATCCAGACACCCTAGTGTCAGGCTCCCCAGGGATCAAAGCACCTGTTCTTGGTCACCTCCTTACTCCAAACTCAGATCCTGCCACACCAGGGTAACCAGATATGGCTAGACACCCTGATAGGCCACATATATGCCCTGTGCCCCCAGCTACAATCACACACACACTCACTCTCTCTCTCTCTCTCTCTCTCTCTCTCTCTCTCTCTCTCTCTCTCTCTCTCTCTCTCTCTCTCTCTCTCTCTCTCACACACACACACACACACACAACTCTGACTGCCCAGAAGCCAGGGTCCCACTTATGCACACCTCTGCCAGCCTCCCAACCCCACCTGCAAGGGCCACCCTGGAAGCAGGTCCCCTCCCACTTCCCCAGCACACAGCAGCCAGGACAGAAGCTGTGATTCCACTTGCCCACCCCAGGATCTGGGACTGAGGATGGAGGGAGGATCTTCTGGAAGGCTTCCCAACCCCTCCTAGCACAGCGCCCTCCCTCTGCCCTCCCTCCTCCCCAGACGCTCAGACTGACCGTTGAGACTCAGTGCCTCACCAACTGTCACAAAGGCCTGAGACTGGGGCTGGACAGGCCCTGCCAGCTGCTGAGGGTGGAGATAGAGCCTGGGGGAGGGGCTCGCAGGCAGGAGACCTGCTCCTTTCAGTCTCTGCCAGGGACTTAACAGCCCCAACTCAAAGCTCCCAGATGACCCTCTCTACATGGCCTTTTCACAACACAACACCATTCCCCAGCAGAATTTTCCAGATTCCTGGAGGGAAACCCTACTTCTTTAATCTCTACCTTCAGTGGAGTCAGTGCGCCCCCATCTGGCGTCTTCAGCTCTCAACTTGATCTCCTCAACTTCATTCATTCTTTCATGTCACATACATTTATTCAGACTGGGTGGGCCAGGCCTTGTGCCTGACACTAAGGATTCAGAGGGGAACTAAATACCCAGCCTCTGTCCTCACGGGGCTCAAGCTCTAGTAGGGAGACAGGACCAATAAACTGTAATTACAATAATTACAATGTTAAGTAAAAATCCAATCAACCCCCACTCCTGCCTCCTGGGCTAGGACTAGGCATACCCAAGGAAGGCTTCAGGGAGGAGGTGATGTCTAAGCTGAGAGCTGAGCAAGTTGCAGGAGTTCGCCTGCCGGGAGGTGGAGTTAAGAGAGTTCCAGGGAGAAAGCACCGCTCGTGCAAAGGCCCGAGAGGAGCAGGCGAGCCATGGGCACTTGGGGGCTACTGGTGAGAAGGTCAGGCTGGCCAGATCACAGGATGCAAAGGGCAAGTGACACCAAACAAGATGGGGCTGGACAGGCAAGCAGCAGGGCCAAGGGGCAAGGACATAACCCTGAAAGCAAGGGGGAGCCTTCAGAGGGCTCTAAACCCGAGTTCAAACATGACTCTTAGCAAGATCCCTGCTCTGTGGAGGGAAGAGGCTGGAGTCTTCCTGCAAGTGAAAGGAGCAGGAGGAGAGAAGGGGATAGTTAAGAGAGCCTCTGAGGTGTCACAGGGACAGGACACAACAGGATGCAGGAGGAGGGAAAAGGGTGGAGGGAGGAAGGGGGCACGAAGCACCCCCTCCAACTCTGGCTACCTCTGCCCTGCATGGAAAGGCCAGCCCACCCACAAGCCCAGCCCAGCTGATGAAAGCACCGAAGCATGACAGCATGCCTCCAGCAAGCAGGGTGCCCCAGCTCAGCACCCCCACCCCGGCCACTAGCTGCTTCCTGCAGAGTCCCCTCCTCCAGCCCCAGCGAGGAGGGAAGGGCCGCCGGATGCCCAGACAAGCCTTTATTGCCCAACCTGAAACCACTGGGCAGCCTCTCCCTCATTCCAGCTGTCTGCAACTGCAGCCACTGAAAGGACCAAATGAGCAAGAACACGGCAGAATAAACTACCGCCAGGTTTGCTCCGCTGAGAGACATCGCATCCTCGCCCCACTAGGGAAACTCAGGAGGCACTCAGGGAGCTGGGCTGACCGTGCCCAGACTGGGGATAGGGAGATATCACACCCTCTATTAAGGGTTTCTGAATTAAGCTCTAATAGTAACAGCTACTAAGGGGCCAGAAAATTTAGAAGTGAAGTGACTTGCCCAAGGTCAACTGAACAGCAAGTGGCAGAGGCAGAATTTGAACCCAGGTTACCCTGGGTTCAAATCACAGCCTCTGGGGCTTTGTAACAACCCTCAACCCCATTTTCCAGTCACTCACAGATAGAGCCTAACTTTACAAGGTACTACAAAGCACCATACACTATTATTACCATACCAGGGGGCAGATGAGGAAACGGAGGCATGAAGAATGGGAGTGACTTGCTCTAGGTATCACTCCCAAACCTCAGTTCTTGACAGTCCCCACTACTAGCAGGAGGAGGGGCACGGAAAAGGAAATGTGGGGGATGGGGACCATACGATACCCCCCAGTTTGATCTCAGGGTGCAGAAGGGAGACACAGTTGTTACAGGACATGGGGAAGGAGTTGGGGGAGGACTGGGAGGGAGGTTGCCTTGGGCGTCCTCTCCGGCACAGGGAGGTCAAAGCTAAAACTGTGCCCATAGCTCCTGGCCTGTAGGGCGAGGCCCAAGTGCGAACCAGGGCTGGGGAGAACTCAGGAGCCACCAGAGCTCCTGCCAGAGACGTCCCAGCGGGCTGCGGGGCGCGACTTCGATCCCGATCCTGGGAGGTCCCGGAGGTCCGTTGTCTGTGGCTGGCGGCCAGCCGGGAGGAGGCAGTGGATAACAACGCTCTAGATTAACTAACTATGGAGAAACAGAACCACCTGGGCCTTCTTCCCAGGCTTTGGGAAGGAGGTCCCAGAGGCTGAGTTGGGGACAGCCACTAGCACACTCCCACCCAACATATCCACACCCCATTCCTGGATACGCAGATATTCCCATAGGACATCAGGGCACCTCCACACCAAAACATGCAAATAGACACATGGCACCTCACACCCTGATTCACAAATACTGGATACTTCAACACACGGGTACTCCACACTCAGATACCCAGACATGTGGGTACCCCTATACCCAAACACCCAGACACCTGGACACAACACAGAGACACTCTGCACTTAACCACTAACCTGAAGATTCCTAGATGCCTGGATACTCCAACCTCCAGATCCAGAGACACTGCGACATCCTCTGCACACCCTGATCCTCCCACACCCTGGTACTGGGATACCCACACCTAGATACTGTGATATCCCCCATCCAAACAGCTCTGCACCCAACTCCAAGAATTTGACACTTGCATATCCAGACACCCTAGTGTCAGGCTCCCCAGGGATCAAAGCACCTGTTCTTGGTCACCTCCTTACTCCAAACTCAGATCCTGCCACACCAGGGTAACCAGATATGGCTAGACACCCTGATAGGCCACATATATGCCCTGTGCCCCCAGCTACAATCACACACACACTCACTCTCTCTCTCTCTCTCTCTCTCTCTCTCTCTCTCT